CACACACACACACACACACACACACACACACACACACACACACACACACACACACACACACACACACACACACAACCTGCAGGTGCCCATCCGCCTTGTCCGGTCGGAGGATCTTGGTCTCCGCGGCGCCCACGTCGTCGCCACGCGTCTGCTCGTCCAGCCAACACCAACCGCCGCCACCACTGCCATCGCCTCTTCCACCACGCCGTCGACCAGCCGCCCCTGTGCGCCGTGCGGGCCGTGTGGGCCCTGCCATGGCGTCTGTGGTGCGCTGGCAACGGTTGCCGTCACCTCCATCACCGCTGCGTTCGCTGGCGCCGCGTTCTACCACATGCTCTCCCGCCGCACGTGAGCACGCGCGTTTTTTGCTTGCAGGCACTCGTCACGCACACCGCTGCTTGCGTACATGTATGTGTGTGCGCGTGTGTGTGTGCTGTGTGAGTGCGCGTCAATGCGTGATTTGCGTTGAGCTGCTGCCTAACTGCTGATTGCCATACCGTCTTGTCATCTTGTTCTTCTCCTTCATGCCGTTGCCACCATGTTTCCCCCTCACCCTCGCTGTTGTTGTTGTTGTTGTTGTTGCTGTTGTTGTTGTTGTTGTTGTTGTTGTTGTTGTTGTTGTTGTTGTTGTTGTTGTTGTTGTTGTTGTTGTTGTTGTTGTTGTTGTTGTTGTTGCTTTTCGTCCCTGCTGCTTTCATCGTTACCACCGCACCACGTTGTGCTGACACTTTCCCCGTTCCTCCCCCTCCCCCCCCCACCACACACACCTGCTCTCTTTTCCGATGTTGGTGATGGTGGTGGTGGTGATTACGAGTGGGGGGTTGTGTTGTCTTCCGTTACAATGACGTCCATTAAACACATGCATGAGACAATTCAGGACAGCAATATGCACACACAGCCACACCCACAGCCACACCCACAGACACAGACACAGACACACACACACACACACACACACACAGAGCCACAGACACACACACACACACACACACACACACACACACACACACACACACTTGCTAGTCATCATAATCAACAAGCCCGCCACCACTGCCTCCTTCTCTTGTACTGCTGCTGCTGCTGCTGCTTGACAATTGCCCTTGTCGTGTTGGCTCCGACACTGTCGTTACCACTCCTGTGGCCGTGGGTTCTGCTGTTGTCGTGGCTCCTGTTGTCGTCGTCGTTGTTGTGTCCACAGCATTGTGGCCGCGTCGCACGGGGCGAACAAGTGGCTGCTGCTGCTGTTGGCGTTGATGTTTGTGCGTCTTCAAACCACCACCACCACCAGCAGCAGCGCCACCACCAAGACCAGCACCAGCACCACCACGTTTGCTCGCCATCATGCCCTTTGCCACCCCTGCACGTGCATGTGCTAAGAGCACTTTCTTCAGGTCACCTGCGCGCGTGGCGCTGTGAGCAGATGACGACACCAAACTATCGCCACCACTGCGGCTACGATTGCTGCTGTTGTTGTCGCTTTGGCTGTGCTTGCTTGCGCTGCTCGTGTATGCGTGAGAGAAGATGGACTGGCGTTTGATGGCGTCCCTCGCGGTACGCATGGTGGTTGGCGTGTGCTGCCCAAAGGTGGTGTGCTTGGCCAGGGCAACGTCGCCCTCGTCCTCGGGAACAAGCTTGATGTCCAGGGATGCCTTGCTCAGGAGCGCGTTGTCCTTGTCTGCCTTGGCCTTGAGCTTCCGCTTCTCTTGGCGGAAGGAGTTGCGCAGCTTGCTGTTGATGTCGTAGTCGTGCTTGGTGGTCTGCTCCTTGAGCTGCACCAGGCGCACCAGCCGGGGCTGCTGCTCGGCGGCGCGGTGCTTGTCGCTTGCCTGGTGCTCCAGCATGTACATGGGGTCCTGTGCGCGCTTGTCCTTCTCCTGCTGGTCTGGCACGACGATGCTCTGCGCGTCGTCTGCGTCCCACGTGTCCTTCTTGCGGCGGCCGCCTTTGGTGATGCGGTAGTCGCAGTTCTTCGGGTCCGTCTCAAACACAATCGTGTTGCTGCACAGGTGGCAGGTGAAGGTGAAGGCGTAGATTGGGGTGGAGTAGTAGGCGCCGACCTTCTTCTTCTCCGCGTTCCAGCGCACGCCGCGGCCAATGTGGGCACCGCAGCTCTCGCACCAGAAGTTCCATGGCGCCTCGAAGCGGATGACCAGGATGCCCTGCTTGATCTTGCGTGCACGCTCGCGCAGCGGGTGCGACCCATGATACGCGTTGATGCTCGACGTCTTCTTCGGATCAAAGTCTGGCGGGATCCACTTGTTCGACGCCTTGCGGTCAGCCATGCTTGACGGGGAGAGATGACAGAGGTGGGAGAAGAGAGAATGGGGGGGGGGGGTTTGTAGGGAGGAAGGGGGTTTGACGCAGGTGGTGGACGTTCGTCTTCGTCTTCGTCTTAGTCTTCGTCTTGTCTTTCTTGCTTGTCTCTTCTTGTCTTGCTTGCTTGCTTGCTTGCTTGTTGATTTTCGTGGCTGCTGCGGATGAATGTGACAACTGGCTGCTGTTGATACATCATCATCGAGTGTTGTGTCCTGCCATCCACCCTCCACACACCAACAGCTGCACAATATCATCCTCTCGTTGACTCTGGCCCACACTACCTGACATACACAACAACGACACGCTCGACGTCATGGCAGATCGCCAAACGCCCGTCATCTCCGCACCGCACACGGAAGGTTGGTTGGTGTGTGTGTGTGTATGTGTGTGTGTGTGTGTGTGTGCTTGTGTGCTTGTGCGTGTGCGTGTGCGTGTGCGTGTGTGTATGTGCGTGTGTGTATGTGCGTGTGTGTACGCCTTGCCGGAA